CAGCATGAGATATGATTGTTTAAAAACATGTTTGCTGCTAAACTGTTCTGATTCATAATTTTTATTTGTTATAACGTTATAAGTAGAATAAAATCCATACATCCGCCATAATTACGATGTATACTATATTTCTCTCCTAAGATAAAAGAAAAAAAAGCTATCAGTTTATGCTCTTTGCGTTTGAGATAAAGCTATAATTTTTTGTCGTAAAAAATTTTCTGGACTTTGGACATCACAATAACTCAAATATTTCAAAAGTTATAAAATTTTCTTTCAAAATTGCCAATTTGACGACATTGTTTTCTTCAGATGAAAATTTACACAAGCAATGAATGATTCTCCATTTTCGCTATTTTTTATGTGTTCAGATTATGTAACGTAGGAATTATAAAATTGTAAAAAATTATAAAATAGACTTCATTTTCATAATACTGTGGCAATTTTTTGTTCGTTATGTAAACAAAGACAGTGCATCTAAAATTGAATTATTAATTTTAATCAAGTAAAATAAACGAGATTAATTTGAAAATGAATTAAGAAAAAGTTTGGAAAGTCATAAACGGAAGGTTTACATTGAATCCGAGGAATATGATAGGAAATATCAGCTAAAAGATCAAACTTTCTGTTTTTGCAAATTTGTTACCTGGATCTCGTAACATTATTTCGTGTTGCCAAGATACGTGTGAGCTTTTACGTTATTTACATTAAATACGCTATACATACATAGATACATATATACAAATACATAAATAAAAATATGTATTGTATAAACGCAAAGAAAAAGAAACAAATAAATAAATACGAAATAAAAACAAATAAACAATTAATTGTTAATGTCCATTATTGATTGCTTATAATTTTCAGCTAGAAATGATTTTTTAAAATCAATGTTCTACTTTAAAAATACAGATTAATTTTGTATATTTAAGAAAAAATATTGAGAAAGAGAAAGATCTGATATAAAGTGAAAACGTAATGAGTAAAAAAAAATATGAATAATAGTGAAATTCTAAATATTGATGTAGATTATAGTACATAATGAAAGAAAAAATTCAGCGAAAAAAATAACTTATATAACTTGTAAAGGTGATAAATAAAAAAAAAACGTATAAATCAATAATAAATCACTGCATCTTTGATATAGATGATATTAAATAATGAAAAACAATATTGAAGATTTAAAATATTAAATATAAGAGGTTGACATTCAGAAGATCATTTATAATATTTTAATTAGGCAGTGATATTTAGAGCTCTTAAATGTAAAACAAGGAAATACATAATTCAGAAGTCCGAAACCCAAAATAAAATTCAAAACTCAAAATCAAATGTTGAAACTTTATCTATAAACACCTTGTTAACTCAACCATGAAGCAACTAGAAACAATCTCCGTAGGATGCCAATGTTTCAGCTTAAATATGTTGTTTGGAAATTATACCCCATTAACAAAATGTCTCAGACAACAATCTGGAATTACAAAGAGGTTAAAAAATAAGAGATCATTTAAAATATTTTATTTAGGGAGAGATATTTAGAGCTTTTAAAAGTTAACCAAGAAAATACCTAACTCAAGAAATCCAAAACCAAATGTTGAAACTTTTTCTATATACACCTTGTTAACTCGAGCACCGTGAAACAATCTCCACAGGATGCCAAGAAACAATGTAAATGTGTTGTTTGGAAACTATCTAAAGTCCCCCATCAACAAGAGGTCGCAGGCAACAACAAAGAATAACAAAGAGGTTAAAATTTAGGAGATCATTTAAAATATTTTAATTAGGGAGAGATATTTAGAGCTTTTAACAGTAAACCAAGAAAATACATAACTCAAAAAACCCAAAACCAAACGTTGAAACTTTTTCTATATACACCTTGTTAACTCGAGCACCATGTAACAATCTCCGCAGGATGCCAAAAAACAATGTAAATGTGTTGTTTGGAAATTATCCGAAGTTCCCCATCAACTAAATGTCAAAGACAACAACCCAGAATTACAAAGAGGTTAAAATTTAAGAGATCATTCAGAATATTTTAATTAGGGTGAGATATTTAGAGCGTATAAAAGTAAAATGAAAAAATACTTAACTCGAAAACCTAAAACTAAATGTTGATACTTTCTCTATATATACCTTGTTAACTCGAGAACCGTGTAACAATCACCGCAGGATGCCGAGAAACAATGTCTTAGCTTAAATGTGTTGTTTGGAAATTATCCCCCATCAACAAAATGTCAAAGACAACAACCCAGAGTTACAAAGAGGTTAAAATTTAGGGGATCATTTACAAAACCTTCTCCCTTTCCTGTATCCCATCCATTACATCAACATGTTTTCACCCCACCTACTGACTGAAGGTAAAACCCATAAAAACTTTCTGTTGCGTCCATCAATTTCTAGACAGGTAAGCAACGGACAATAAAAATATAGCGCCAATTTGGCGAAGGTGCTTGTTTCCCTGGAATTCACCATTGTTGTCATTCGTTTGGGTGCGTAAATTTATTCGCTGAAATAGCTTTTAGGTTCAGCGAAATTACAGAAAATAATTTAAAAAATTGTTTACCTCACTTAACAATTCTCGTGATAATTTATTTTTTTAACATTTTGATGTGCATTCGAAGAATATGCAAGATGAAGAGAATTGGAAAAATTAGAGACTTATTAGTACGTAATTAGAGACTGTTTGTTAAACATTTATCTCTTCAATTTGCTTTTCATATACTCTTTATTAATATTATTTTCTTTTTTACAACTACAGAATGTTCTCTTATAGCTTTAATAGATGATATCAGTCGTCAAAATACATATTGTTTAAAGAATAAGCTGGATAAATTATTCCGTGTTACAATTTTTTTATTCCCTTTATACAAATAATTCAGGGGAGGGTTTTCAAATGTGATATTAGTTTTACTTCCACAGCTGCAGATTTTTTAAATAATATTTTTATTTTATTTTTGTTGAAATGTACAATTTTAAAAACGCTATATAAAGCAGGGATTGTAAAAATGTTGCGACTAACTCCTAGGGGAACTAAATAATATCATTAGGATTAAAATTATATGTATATATGTTTTAATTTATATGTATTATATGACGATGCTTCGAAACTCATGTTCAGAAGCATCGTCATACGCAACCAGGGGCGCTTCTCTGTTATATCAGCCCAGAAACACACGAAGAAACAGTCCTACATAAAGATACGCCCCTAGCTGTGTATGATGATATTGCCTGGCATGGGTTCCCATGCGGAGTCCTTCATTCTAGGCGAGACAATTGTTCTCCCTTAGAAGTTTTCGCAAAATGTATGCTACCTCTGTTATATATAACGTTTTTAAACTTATAAATTTCGACAAAATTTAAACTAAAAATGCCATAAAAATTGTAGTTTGGAGAGAGAAATCAACTGCAGATTTGAAGTCAGCAACGTAAAAATATTTTAGATCCGTACAAAATCTCATTTAATAGGGGGGGGGGAATGTTCTTCCTTGTTATTGAGGTAAACTGTAGTTTTTGCAAATGAAGATCTAGAATGCATATATATTCTCATTTTCTTACAAATAATATGTGGAATAGATATGTATTCTCCTCTTGCATGTGGTGTGCAGAATAGATGTTAGGTGTATATTTTAATCTTCTTACAAATAATATGTATTAACCTCTTTTTGCGTATAATGTGTAGAGTATCACAGAGGTGGAGAATAAGAATAACAAATTAAAATTGCGATTAATGAAAGAAAATCTGTAAATGATGTTTAATGAAGCAAAACACTTAATTTTAAAGTATAACGTGGGAATTAGATGAGTATTCTAATCCTCTTACATATAATATGCAGAACATATTCATATTATTATCTTCTAGTATATGATGCGTAAAATAAGTATTCATTGTCTTCTTCTTTTGTATAATTTGTAGAGTACCACAGCGGAGGAGAAAAGGAATAAAAAAAGGAAATAGTGTTTTTATGAAAGAAAAAAAATTACATGCAAATGCTGTTTAATCAAACAAAACACGTAACTTTACTGTATGATTATCTATATATATATTTCTTTACACGGCGACAAAAAAAATCCTCATTACAACTCCCCGAATGGCAACGCTAGAAAATCGACCAATGATTGCAGCTAAAAATGTCACGAATCTAGCTGATATGGCTCAACATATAGCGCTTTTAAAAACGGAAACTGAAATAACCAGAGTGAGCATAAGCTAGGCAGAAGATCGATAGATCTCTATTTTAGTATTTTGTCGAAAGCGCTTTTTTTCACGAATTCATATATTACGGAGTTAATTGACGATTTTTGATTTATATCACGAATTTATTTGTTTTACTAGAATTTATTTGTTTATACAGGTCTTTCCATTGCAATTCACTAATTTCAATTTTTAATAGACTTAATTATAGTCAAAATTTTAACCTTTTTAAAGAGAGCTCATTTCTAATAGGTTTAACGAATTACATGTCATTTATTTGAATTCAAATTTATTTTAATGACTTAGTATTTACTAAAAAGATGTAATTTTTTTTCAAAAAAAGAGTTTTTATATAGATTTGAATGATTGTTTTGAATTTTTAGAAATTTGTGCATTTGCAATATACCTAAGAAAGAAACAATCGAAGCGAGCTCGGTTTGCGAAGCAAACCATATGAGATTGCGTAGCAATTTTCGGGGGTTGGCGAGCGTTAGTGAGCAGGGGGCGCAGCCCACTAGTTAGATATATTTACTGCACTATATTAGATATATATTCTATTCTTCTTACATATAATGTGTAGAATCTATGCACTTTCTCCTCTTCTTGCATGTGATGTATAGAATAGGTGTGTATTATTCTCTTCATGCGTATAATGTGTTTATAGTGTGTTTCCTGCTTCTTACGTATAATAGGTTTCATTCATAATTTTCATTCGTATTCACCGAAAGGGGAAAAATAGTAATGAAAAAATAAAATCAACGCTTAAGGAAAAAATAATAACATGTAAAGGATGTTTTTTGAAACAAAACACTTAATTTTACTAGTATATTTAATAAATTTCAATATTTACAAATGTTACTTCTTCTCATAATATTTTACAATGATATCAACACAAACTATGCACAGAATACGAAAATGTGATTTTTCATTCAAAACAAATAAAATTTTTCTATGATCCATATAAATAACAATAACACACAACAAAACTCAGCGATTAAAGAATTTTTTTTAAGAAAAGATATGCACTAAAAATGCGCACAATTCGGCAATACTTCATTTAGATTTGTCCACAAAATGCTCAAAGCATTTGCTTCAAAACGCTTCATTAGATGAAATGCAACACTAGAAAATGCTCCTACAAGTTAAGAAAATGGCGAAATAGCGAAATGCAAACAGCTATACATCAGAAGAAACAAAACAGAAAATAAAAACAACACGAAATTAAAAAATTAAGTAGAATACAATGAGAGGTGGTGAAAGAATTTTTTTTTTTTTATGTAAAAACTTTGCGAATTATAGAATTCAAAAACCAAGCATTAAAAAAGAATGTTTTATCTCTAGTTTGAAATTAAAAACAATTTTATGCTTAATAAACAAATTTTTATTATCATTAATAATTTAATGCTTCTAAATTCGATATAAATCTTAGTCATCAGTATTTTAAATGAAGAAATCGAAGTCTCATCTTTGGTTCTCCGTAATCACCATCCTCAACACAGTTCTTTAAAAACCTTTACCAAGTACTTTGTTAACAAATGTGCACATTAGTGGTCCCAAGTTATTAAACAAAGGAAATAAGAAAAAAAAATTCAAAATTTTGAAAATAACTATTAAGTAAGGCGGGTTACAAAATATCAAAACGTGTTTAAATGTCAAAAGAAACTCAAAGGTATTTTTCGTAATCTCCTTTAATCTTTTCTCAATTTCCTCAGACAATCAAACAAGTATTGAAATTGTTAATAATACATTGCTTACCTATGATTCACAGTTTAAATATTAATTCCGACTTTACTATTGACAAGGATTCTAAGTATATATACTTTACGTAACACTATGATTAAAAGAGGCATTCCAAGAGTATATATATATATCTTGTAATCTCGAACTTTGCTTGATTTCGGCCAACAGTTTTATTTTCAAGAGCTGTAGTTACGTGGCATTCTGAGAACCAAGAGGTGTTTCAAGAGTAGTTTGTGATTTCGAATTTTGCTTTTTTTCATTCTTGATAAAGATTCTAAAAATGCATTTTAAGGACGGTGATTACACAACACCTTATGTACAAGAGGCGTTTAACGAGTCACTTTCATCTATGAACTTTGTTTAACTTCATTATGAACAAACATTATAAAAATATAGTTCAAGGGTGGTAATTACATAACATCCCGATTACAAGGGTAATTGGTGTATATATATATATATATATATATATATATATTATTTGNATATATATAGATTATTTGTGACCTTGAATTTCGTATGACTCTAGAAATCGACAACATATTTAAATTGTAGATACATTATTTTCATATTTTTCAGTAAAAATAAAGGAAATATGTGTATTAAAAATTTAAAAATATCTTCAAAAATTTAGTTAAATTTTCTGCTGGAATTTCGTTTGGTTATTTAAGTGAAAAATGCTTTCAAATACATCAAAAGCATTAAGTTAGTATTTCTGTTTAAATTTAGTTTTATTAACTCTTTTTCTTTTAATTGTAAATTGCTAAAAGGACAAAATATACAAAAAAAAAGAAAAAAAAATTAGTGGTACGAGATAATGGAAAAAAAAAAAAAAACTTGCATTTTCTACATCATGTTTATGAATATACCTGAAATAACAATAAAAAAGAAACCTTGAAAATTTCTCTTCTAGTCCCTTAATTTTATTGTTGACATCGTATTTCAGTGGCATTATGGTTTATTGTCATGAAACAAGTGGCATGGCAATATATGTCATGATAAGCAAATAATGACAATGTGAGAAACAATAAGGAAATATACAAAAAACATTTGTTCTGACTAGACTGGATGTCATTATTTACTTCAAATATAAAGTTCACATACAGCCATAATTATAATTAAGCTAAAAATAATACAAAATTATGACAACGATAAATAAGTTCATGTTTTTGATGGTGTATTGTTTCAAAACTTTCCACTTTTCTTAAAAAAATTTTTTAAATCTGAAATACAAACTGCCATGATAATAATTTTAGCCATAATTATAATTATAGATAAAATTTGTCTACTACAAAAGGAAATTTTTATGTTGTTTTTTATAGTGTAGTTTTTTAGCTAAAATGCTTCAAACTTAGTTAATAAAAAATTCTCATAATGCATTAAATTAAATTTATTGTAATGCTAAATTAAATTAACTTATAAAATGAATAAGATGTTCGATATTTTTTAATTTAGTTTTAATGAAAAAAAAAAATCTTAAAATGTTTGATTATTCTGAAACGTTATTAAAGGAACATCGATTTTTCAATGTATGGGTGTTTCTAATATTTTTTATTGAAAATAATGTAAATTTATTATACTTATCATTTATTTGAAAATTTAAAATTTAGATGAGATAAAAAAAGAACAAATAATTATTAAATAATTAGGATATAATAATAAAATATAATAATCCAGATTTCTAATGCCATGGAATAAATATGTTATTGATTTATGAATTAATTTGTTATACTCTTAACGAAAACAGAATGATTTAAGAGATTTTTTTTTTATCATAATTATATTTATTACGAAAAATACCTAAAAAAATATGAATTAATCATTATTTTTTTTCTATTTTTAAATTTTTTTTTATGGATGAAATGTTAGTAGGACATGCAGCTTAAAAAATCAAATGTAATTTCATTCAATGTGAATTACTTTACTTAATGAAGACAAAAAGCAATAATTTAATGATTGTGAAATTAAGAAAAAAGTATTCTTGATTTAATAATGATAATCATCAGAATCTGCATAATCATAATCATCATCTTCTGCTTCTGTTACAACAGGCTTTGCGGCTCTTTTAGCGCGAGCCATTTTCTCCATGTTTGCAACAACTTCCTCATCATAATCATCGTACATTCTGGAAAAGAAATATATTATCCCATGAACATTCAATAATAATAAAATTTAATGATGCAAAATAACTTTTAAATTAGAAATAATGAAAGTAAAAAAAAAAAAAAGGAGCTATAAACTAAATTTTGAATTTATATTCTTTTCTTTATTTTAAGAGTATAGTTTTTAGATAGTTTTAAAAAATTATTTTGGTTATTTTTATTACAAAGACAAAAGAAAAGAGAAACACAAATTTAAAGAATAGTCTAAGTAAACTTGTTTAAATTTTTAATTATAGATGGCGCCACATTATAATTAAAAAGACCACATGTTTCATTTAGATCACAGAGAAAGTTTGATCTAAGAGAGAGAGAAATTACTTTTCTTTGTCATCATTATAATAATTTCTTAAGAATTTGACAAAAAATTATTTAAAAAAACACGTTATGCAAAAAAATTATATATTAAAAATAAATACCGATTTCTATTCTTGTTAAAAATACGCAATTTCTTCATGTAGAATTTAAAATATAATATAAATAAATTTCCTTTTTTTCTATTTATTTAAAAGAATAAAAATTTATTGAATTATTCATTTACTTTATTTTAAAAAAGAATAAATGCAAACTCAGAAATTTAAATCAAATAATTCCAAAAGCAGTTCGAATCACAAAATAAGCTCATTTTGTATATGCTATTTAGTTTAGCTAAGCAATACATGAAACATAAGAGAATCACAATTTTCTTTAATCTTAGAATTTGCAGTTTAATAATAAAATATATAGTTTTATTGCTTATGTTCATTTTATTTCCGCATAATTTCTATTCCTAATTGGAAATAAAAAAAATATAGAAATTTCAGATTGGTGCTGCCATCTTTATTGTAAACTTAAAACTATTAGGGAAGGTGAGGGTTCGTTGGAAGGGAGTAAAATGAACCCAACGTACATCGTGCTTAATGCGATGAGTTAGACAAAGTCGATAACGTACAATTCATCCTGCTGATCAGCAGCACCCTCTTCAGCAACGAGTAATTCATATTCTTCAGCTGCATATCTATCCCAATCACTAAGTTCTGGTCCTTCACCATCATGCTCCTAAAATAAAATACGGTTGGAATATTATTTTTAATGTTTGACAGTCATATTATAAAAAATTTCTTATTTGAAGCTTTCTTTTTTAAAGTATGTTTTAATTTAGAGTTAATTTTTTTAAAAAAAAAGAAACTCTTTTCATTATTGCATGGGTATTTATTCTAGGAAAGTAGATTTAATTAAGTAAAAACCAAACAATAGAAACCAATAAATAAATAGAAATATAAAAAATTAAATAACTAACTTAATAAATAAATATATTAATTTATTAACAAACAAATAAAAAATAAATTGAAAGAATCGAAAATATTATTGAACTAAATAAATTTTAACAACTCTCCTAAGCAATTTCTTTTAGTTTCAAATTAACGAACTTATGGCACAAACAGTATTTCAAAAAATGGTAATAGAAGACTATTCATGTAGTATAAATTTTTGTTTTGAATTTAATTGAGATAATAAATAGCTTTAAAATAAAATTTTGAAATTTCTCTCATAGATATCAATAAAAATAAACCTTTTTCTTCTAGTTTAGCTTTAAGATAGGGAAAAAAAAAATGTTTTACTAATGATTATAAAATTCATAATTTCCCTTTCCTTTATATTAATTTTTTATTTTTATCATCATGGACATCAAAGTATAAATAAATAAAAGGAAAAAATTTGTTTGTTTATGTATAATTTTAAAAAATAAATTCAATTCTTAATAAATAAAAAATCACATTTATAAATGTAAAAAAATACACAGTTATTTTAATCATGAAACATCTATCACATGTTAATATAGAAATTACATGAGTAAAAAAGTTATCCCTTAATTTCTGAAAATTTCCTCAATATCATAAAAAAATTTGAGTAAAAAAATTTTTTTTTACGCTATTGCTGAAATGTTGAACTTTCACTCAATATTTTCTGAATAAGGGAGTGGGGAAAATTAAGTAAATTGAATGATAATTTAAAATCACGAAGGGAACTACGAGAAATTACAGAAAAGAAAACATTGAAGAAATTTAAATTAAATTCGTCTTAATAAATTTTGTGTTTAAAGTTGTTTTTGATATATCTTTTTTTTTGATAGTTTTTTTATCATCTTTTTCATATAGTTATATTAAATTGGAAATAACGTGAATAGAATATAAATTTATAAACTTTTTAAAAAAAACTTTTCAGATATTTTATGTGTAGTTCATTATTATTCATCCATGTAATTCATAATTGTAATAATTTAAAATTAATTCATTCGTATAATTCATAATTGCATTTAGTTAAAAATAGAATGAACAAAGCAAAATTTTATAAATTTCTCTCAGAACTTTTTTAGGTCTTAATGTGTAACTCATTTCTATTCATCTTGTGATTAATAATTGTATTCGGTTGAAAATAGAGTGAGCAAAACAAAATTTAGCAAATATCTTTCAAAATCTTTTCAAGTCTCTTATGTGCAATTAATTATTGTTCATCCCAGTAATTCTACTGTTCACCCCTGTAATCAGAATTGAACACGGTTGAACAGTATGAAATTTTCAAATTTGTGTAGTTTATTATTGTTCATTTGTGTAACTTGTATACAATTGAAAATATGTTGCACAAAAAAAAATATTGTTAATTTCTAATATAAATTTTCAGTTTTTTTTGTAATTATTTAATTAAAAAAAATTTTTTTTATTAGGGAAATGTTTATTGAAAAAGCATTTTATTAAAAATATGTTTATTAAAAATTCACTTTATGAAAAATACGTTTTTTTAAAACGGAAATTTTACTAAGCATGATTGAATTGAATTGAGTGTAAATTAATGCAATAAACGTCACATTAAATTTCTAATAACGTTGGGAAATGTGATGTATAATTCTTACTCTTTGTGAGGCAAAGGGATCTCTTTGTTCATGATCTAAGTATTTCTCAAGATTGAAGAAAGTGTCAAAAAATATGGGAGTCATTTTGCATTTTTTCAAATCGGCGAGGGAGACTTTTCCCGGAACTTTAGGTTTTATAATATCCAGCATCTGAAATAAAGAGAAACAGAAATTAGAATGCTTTCAAAGAAGTTATGAAAATAAATTAATATAATATTCGTTTTTTTTTAACTGCTGATTATAAAATTTCTTTATGTATATTAATATAATAGAAATGAATTGCAAGGTGTAATTCTAGAGTTTAATCAGTTACAGTACTTTTTTTTTGTTATTCATTTTAAATATGAATTAGTATTTATTATTTTTAAAGCACAAGATTTAAAGGATTTTTTAGTTAAACAATATAATTTATCATAAATGATTCTTTTCGTGAAAACGGCACATTTTATTTTTACATGATTAGTTTATGCATAGTTATAAATGATATTTATAGTGTAAACGAAAAGTTTTTTTTTGTGTGATTAATTAAAGCAGTAATCATTGATGATTTTATTGTAAACATTCATCGTAGTTATCAATTTCTCTTTCGCTTTTATCATTATTTTATTTATGAATCATTATTTATTTTCTCTAATGCACAATACATACTCTTAACACAATACATACTCAATAAACGAGACTTAGTTTAGCGTGATTAATTGAAGATCATTAGTGTTATTCTTGATTTTAAATCATATTCATTTGACTTTTGTCACATATTATTTTAAATATGAGAGAAATAAAACTTATCACTGTTGACGTTTAACGATTCTCACTTTACAACTCTCGCATTTAAAAACAAATAAAACTTCATTAAAAAACGCTTTAATTTACCTGGCATAAACAGTCATTGAAGGGAAGTGTTTCGATTCCTAAAGCTTCAAGCCTTTGCAATTGTTCAGCGTAGAAATATTCCAATTCATACATTGATAACAAACCATCTCCATCTAAATCCATGCATCGGAACCAATACTCAATGCTATTAAGAAATTAGAACAAAAAGTAAGTTCAAGATTAGGATTTTATTCCAAAATACTATAAGAATTGATATCAGACTGATGTCTTTATTGATAAACATATCCGTCTTTGTTTCATGAACATTAAATAAACATATTTCTCATAATTTATAAAGAGGGAGAGGATACATCTAAAAACTACCCAAATTATAGAACTTTCGGAAAAGATTTATTAAGAAAAGTATGGCTAAACTACTAGAATATGGTAAAATTCGGTAGTTTTTCCCGAAATGCTTTGATAATGATTTTGTTGAAATTTACTATAAAATATGGTTTTATAAAGTATGATAAACTTTGGTAAATGTGGTAAAATTTGGTAATTTTTATCTTGATACTTTAGAACATGGCATAAAAACCATTTGTTCGGTTTTGTTTACTTCTCATTTTTGTATTTCTTGCTAAATTTTAATAAGAGCTAATTTGGTTTTATTAACCAAATTTATGTTTTTTGTCTTTTTTTCTTCTTTTTTTTCTTTTTTTTTTTAATACCAGAAATATTTTTACTAGGCATTATGTTAATTTTACCAAACTTTTTTCTCTGTGTGAAACAATTTTTATCAGTTTATAAAATAATTTTATTCAAAAAGACGACGAATACTCTTTTTGTGCAAATAATAGAGCTAGAGTCTCAATTTTGGGAGGAAACTTTTGCGGGACATCCTGCTTACGGAAATGGTAAGAAAGAAACACTTCTAACGCTTTTTTTGTTTGTGATTTCATGCACTATAACACAATTGGAAATAACAGGGAGCTTTTGTCATACTAACCACAACATTTACCTTATTTTCTTTTTGTTAGCTACTCCGTGAGTTTTAGGGATATTTTCGCAAATGCATTGTGAAGCTCGTATAGTTTTAACGTTAGAGTTAGGGAAAAACTTACCTCTTTGCTAAAACTCTGTAATAATAATAGAAAATCTAGTTATCACAGTATATCTTCATTTCAATTTCATAAAATTTAAGAAACGTTTTTTAAGAAGCTTCAATTATGTTGTTGTTTCTGTTTCTAATGCTACTTGCCAATACCAGCAAGCCTGCTTGGTGAAAACCTTGGACTTGGATATGTGATTTGTCGAAGTACCGGCCCGCGTATGCGGGCACCTCACTTCTTCATCTATTTACTGGCCCTAGGGCAAGTGAGACTAGTGGCTTTGTTCAGGGAAAAGAAAATGAAGTTTACTAACATTAAGTTAGCTATCTATAAGGTTAATTACTGGGAAGGTCCCTAGAGTCATTAGCATGTTAAAGAAACAATGAATTGAAAAAATATGTACAAGATAAATTACAAGATTGAAAAATAGGGGAAACTAAAATATTATATATTTACAATATTTACATATAGGCATTGTTTATATATCAATTAGTGTGAGCCTCTGATATAACGATGACCCGGTCGTCCCGGTAAATCTTGGTGAAAACCATGAAAACAAACGAATTTAAGGCAGAGAGTGCGTTTCTTGTTTTTCAGTGGCGCCATCTATGGCCGAGAATGCAATTTCATCCATAGGTTTATAGGGCGGACCCATTCATACATCCACAGATCGTAATTTTGACCTGAATCAGAGAACGAATGAATCCTGACTCGAATTCAATACCCCAGAGGTAATGATTTGTTATGGGAAATGAGAAATAATAATATTAACTCGATAAGTTCGTACCTTCTGGGATGCCTTTTATCTTCTTCTGAAATAAGAAACCATACGAATTCAGTATAACTCATCTTGCCTTCTTTTTGTTTCGGCCCCCTTTAAAGCAATTCAATACTTCAGTTAATTTTACTTGAACAGAAAAAAATAAGTTTCAAATAACTTAAAGAAAAAAAAGTAATTATAAACATACCTTGTTACAGCTCCAGAAAATATCCTTTGTATAACTCGTGTGGATAAAGCTGAAATATATAACAAAGAACAACTTTGAGAGATTGCAGAAAGCTTCTATCAAAGTTTTTTAAAAAATTTTTTTTCGAAAAGCAAAATACATATGAGATACGTAGCAGATATAACTTATTTTTTAAAAATCTTTGGTGAAAAATGTCATTTTTATAACACTTTCTAACAATTTCATTCGATCATTATTAATGTCATAATTTCTAATGTTATAATTTCTATTATCGTAATTTCTAATGTTTTAATTTGGAGTACAACCATAATTATTAAAACAGTTCAAGTTAAAAGTTATTACAATAGGTTAAAATAAATAATTTTTCTAAAGTACGGATGGCTTGAACTTTTTTCAAATATTTTATCGTAAAAAGTAAATGTAATGTAATCATTTTTTCATTAATAGTTTAAAAAAATATATAAATAAAATAAAGAAAAACATATAAATTGTGATATTTGGCACCCTTTCAAAATAACTAAAGAATTTTCGGATTACTTTTATAGCCAAATTTTGATCTTATATGCTAAGCTCACAGATAACTAAATTTAGAAAGTAGTCTAATTATTTATTGTAATTTTCACTGTAAAAATGCTTTAAAACTCGAAAAATATATTGATTTTTTAATATATTGATCTTTGACCTCTTTTAATACACTGATCTTTGGTCAAAAATTACAGTATATTAGGTTATATAAAGTAACGCATTAATTTTTTTTAATTTTTTGAAATTTTGAAATTACCTGAAAAAATAATGATATTGTCGTCGTTTGTGTGAATAATTAAAATTTTGAAAAATAAAATTTAAAAAAATAATAAAATTTAAAAATATTAATTTCGGATAAATTGCAATAAATAAATAAATGATAAATGTAAAAATATTTCAATAAAAAAAATGATGAGGGAAAATAAGAGAATTCTAGAGGGAATATGTGTGTATCATATGAGTATCATATTAATTCTCTACTGGTTTTGGAATTGTATGCACAGTGCTCAAAATAAAAATTTCAGTTATGAAATCACAGGAAAATAATAATAATAATAAATAAGGCCTATATTGTAAATTTAATTTCTTAGGAACAAATTGACTGATTTCGCCTAAACTTTGTATTTTGCTGTGTAAAATTATATTTTTAAAAATTATGTCAAAAAGATTTTATGCCTTACAATTCAAAATTTTTAGACTATTATTAAATAAAATAATGAAAAATAATACATATTTTCTAAAAGTTATATTTTTGAATGGAATTATCTAAACGAATTTTATATTTGTGAGTAAAATTTTTTTAGATTACCTTAAAAGGTTCTCGTCCGAATCCGCTAAAAAAAGGTATGCTAATTAATAGAAAGTTCGTTTTTGTGTCTAATTTCGTAATTTTAAAATATTGTCAGATCTGCACCAATTAATTAGCATATTTGTTGTCCCTCATTCATACCATTGAGATTGAGTCTTAGAATGTTAATAATACTTCCAAAATCCAATAAATGGCGCTCTTTACAGCACTTTTAAAGTGAATTGTTCTCCAAATTCCTTCCTGACACTGTAGCATCAACATCATTCTTTTTTTTGTTTTTTTGTTATTAAATATATTTTTTGTTGAAGGCGTTTTGTAATGATTTGAACCCCAAGGTCATCGTAATTAACATAGAACGCTGAGAATCCTATCATTGGAACAAAGGTTATGTAGGGTAGTCCGTTTATTTATTATTATTATTGTTTTTTGAGCAGTGTACTAAACTAACTGTGCTAATAAGAACTTGATTTTTTCCTAAATAATTTCACTCGGTGAAATGAGGTGAATATAAAAGGTAAAAATTTTAAACATTTGAAGCTAATGCAAATACGAATTAAATACGAATTCAACTTCAGTTCACACTATATAAAGTTTAGCGTATGCAACGATTATTTAAAAATTCGTGATTGCTACTATCTTGATTTAACTATTCTATATGAACACTACTTAAGACTATCTAATATAAACAAAACTGATTCTATATAGACAGTTCTTAGCGATGTGTAATTTAAGTTTCAAACAGAACATTTTCCCAAGTTTTCAAGGTTTAATAATCAATAAGCATAAATTTGTGAGTAAAAAATTCAATATACCTCCTCCACTGTGTACTTTCAGATCATTTTGATCAATAAATAAGTCGTGATCTTTATCCAACTCCCAAAACTTGCAGTATATCACATAGAAATGTTCGTATGAAAAATAATCTGTTATTTGATTTATATCTTCTTCATCTTCAAGTGTGGCCAGTACCTATATCAAAGTATTAAAAAAATTAAATGTTAATTGATTAAATTAAAATATGTATGCAATTTTAAGACAGTCTAAGAATCGATTAAGGAAGATAAATAGCAAAAAATATATCAAAAATGAAAGCTTTCGATCTGTTTCATAATATTGAATTAATAATTTTTTGATGAATTGCTCAAAACGAAAAAATATAATATTGATGCTAGTTAAGAAAAAAGAAACTTAGAAAATTTTGATTGCATTCAGTCGTCAAAGGGGTAAGAATGGAAGAGGAAAAATATTAAGTATGCTTTTTATTATCTTCATTAAATTTTTCAGAATAAATTGATGATGATAATCTAAATTTTTACTATTTCTTAATATTTCAACCTATTTCAGTGGAAGAATAAAGTTCCGTCATTCTAGAATTTCTCGATTTTTATTTATTTAAATCTTAAAACAAAAATATTATACAATTACAATTCTCAAATAGGCCGTTTTTAGAAAAACTATTTAGTGTTGTATATTTGATTTGAGATTTTTTCAAAAATTTCTTTATTTTTGCATAATCTACAAAAGGAATTTTCATTTTTTTTTCCAAATCTGTTTTTGACAGTTTAAACAAAAGTAAAAGCATACAAAATTTGGAAAACAGACAATTAATGAGTAGGGGAGAGTGGGGTTAATTGTAAAATTTTTTACTTAACTATTTTTAACTAACAAAAAATCCAATATATTATTAGTATTAATTGACAGACGAGTAAAGTAGACTATACTCTACTAGAAAAAATAAATATATACCTTATTTTAAATGTTATTATATTAGTTATTAACAATTTTTGACAGTCGTGCACTTGTTACAATTGTCCCCATCTACGGGGTAAATTGTAACAGTACATAAATTCAACTAAAACATAGTTAATTATACATATTATCATAGTTGTGATAGACTTTTTATTGATCAAAATAGTAGTGATATTTTAGGAGTAAAAATAATAATGAGCAGAGACCTAAAGGGTTAAACTTTTAACTTTAAGGGGTTAAAAATTTTAATTTATGCTGTGAAAGGTGACAAATAAAATAATGCACATGCAACATAATATAAATGATATAGGAAACTATTGGTGGTTCTTAAAGAGTTAAGTAATGGTTTGTAAACATAAGATTATTTATTTTCAGCTGTTACAATCTTCCCTTTACTTATTGTTACAATCGTCCCCAAGACGCCATTTCAGCTTTAATTGTTAAAAACAATGCTAGTTAATTAACAAAACTAATTTTTTTTAATGAAATGTTAATTAAGGTGTCCACTTACATATTCGGTTAATAATTTTTATTTGTTTAAGCAAAATTACTTTGTTACAATATAATATTCTAATACCAAAAAAAGTACTTACGTAGCGTGAAAATATCTTTTGTGATGTAACTCTTTCAAAAGTACATAAAAATGGTTGCCAGCAGGGGTGTACATGTAAATTTATTAAATACACCTTGCGCTCCACCTAGGAACCAAATCTAGAAACCGACACTCGAAATTTTTGCTCTGTTCAATCGTACCCTGTTACAATTGACCCCACTCTCCCCTAATAAATTACCAAAGCAAAATAACTGACTACAGAATTTCACTGCTTAAAATTTTTTGAAATAACCCACAGAAATTGTAAAAGTTATCGAGTGCTAATATAGCCGAGCAAAGTTGTAACATTCTACTTAATTTGAAAGATTTACTGCAGTTTTATTCTTTTTTTTTTTTAACAAAAGAAGAAAAAAAACATCACGAACACTAATAAAATTAAAAATTTAACTATGGTGTTAATTGCCACAATACCGAAACGGCACTGCGCACTCTAGGTAAACTGAAAAAAAATTTTTTTTTTAAACCAATTATTTTAGAAATTTAGGCATTCTGTAGATTATGCATGGCATATAATTTATTTATCTATAGACACGTTAACAAAATTAAAAATAAATATATTACTAACATGAATAGTTAAAATTTTATGATTTATCTGCCACTCTTTCAATCTCTACACACATAAAAAGCTGCGAATACATCCAAATAGTATAAAATTTTCATAGTTTTTGCAAATTAAAATTATTTTACCTTTTCATTTATTTTCTAACCTTTGGCAAACAGCCGGAATATGTAACAAAATACCATCGCTGAGATACGAACCCGAGTCTCATTCTTGGGAGGTGAGCGCTCTACCCTCTGAGCCATCTCGGCTCAAAATTAAAATTACTTTTTTTTCTAACTTTCGTTGAACAACCGATCAAATGTTGAGACTACGACTACCAATATTCAACTCCGTAGCCTTGCAATTTTAATAGCAATTCAGAAGACAAAGGAACTCCTGGATCAAGTACTGGGAGAAATTTACCTTTGTTGAAGGCTTCTAGATGGAACTAACCTGCATTTAAGGTTACGTGGCCAAGAAAACCATGGAAATATCCCACGTTTAGCCTGATGTCAAGGGGACTCTAACCCATGATCCGCTTACCACTGAAGACATGTTACGCCAGAATTGTGGTAGGTGCGTGCCGGGTGCTGAATTTATATCGACCAGTCATTGCTGGGATTCGATCTCGGATCACTCTTATGAGGAGGCAAGTGCTCTATCCCCTGAGCCACCATGACTCTCAATTAAAAAATATTAAATTTGCTATCAACTTCTAAAAATTTAAATAGTTTGTTTTTTTTGAGGTGTAAGATAAAACAATAATTGGTACTATTTCGTTTCGCACTCCGTACAAAATCAACAAATCATTATTGACGCCTTGACATTGTATTGTGATAATAGGTTAATGATTCTGTGTTAATAGGAACCTAATATACTAATATAGATAATAGGTTATATACAGTTACCGGAAACGAAAAAATACCCAAAAATACATTTAGGCCTGTTCTTACCTGTAAGAAATTGCTTCTTCGTAATTCTGGAGCAGTAAGCTTACCACTCCAAGATCTGTTGACGCAATAGTAAATCCTTGCAATTACCTATAAAAGAAAAATTTGGAAGAAAAAAAAATTAAGACACAATTATTAAGACAAAAGTATATGTTTTTTCACGAGAATATATTTACATTGAAATTAAAAATTGAAATGGATTTTTTTTGGTGGCTGAATTTGGTGGCTGATTTTAGTGTCTGATTTTGGTGGCTGATTTGGTGGCTGAATTAATTGTTATTTGTTAGCGAAGAGTAAAAAGTTAAGCAGAGAAATTAATACTATTCAGGGTGTTAATAATGCTCTGATTCACTCACGAAAACATAAATCCGTGATTTATTGATGAGTATTTGGAGTTGCAATTTATAATGACATTGTTCAGTGTTAATTAAATATTAAAAATACAATCGTTATTGTAAATTTATTCTGACATGTAGAAGGAGAATTCTCTTCTAATTCTCCTAAATACTTCCTTGTAAATTTTGGAGAAAGAAATCGCTTTATGGTTATTTTATATAATTATTTAGTTTTTTAATAAGTACAAATCAAAATTATTAAACAGGAACTAATAATAATTAAATATTAAAACAAGGAAATTTTCACGTCAGAATTTGTTTGAACTAAATTTAATAGATGGCGCTTACGAAGAGCAGTCCGCGATTCGCGTTTTCTTCTCTTTGGATCCACTTATAGATGCATTCATTTAAAAATATTGAAGAGTAGTGCTGCCATCTAGTAGCTAATTATGAAACGTTTAATTATATAATAAATTATTTACATTTTTGGGACAGAACGGATTTGGAATTTTTCAGAAATAAGATCCTTCTCAAAACTCATTTCTAATTTTTAACTTGTAGGATTAATGAAAGTTTTGTTTTAAAAATACTTACCGTGTGTATATATCTAGAATGGAATTCAGTGGCTTCTTTTAAAAATGTTAACCCAGGATGCGAATCAATTACATCCTAAAAACAACAATTATCCATTTATTGTTATATGCTACTCTTTTGTTGGAGAGAAAAAAATAAATAACAATATATGATACTTTTTAAATAATAATAATTTTTTGGACAGTTATATTAAAGTAATATATTTGAGTTTGTTAAATGTCCCAATTTAAAAGCAATTTTAACATTTCAGAAATTCCCATTTCAATAATATGACATCTGAATTATTTAAAAGAGTATTTGATATTAAGTGAAACAAATTGAAATTTTAATAGAAATTTTATGTGCACGAAACTGCATAGTATATAAACCTAGTACTTAAATTAATAATATTAAAACTGGCAATTTTCAAGTCATTAATTCAGAATAAGCACGTAACATGCTATCTTTTCTCTCTCCATTTTTCTTTATATTTTGTTTGTTTTATTTTATTCATTGTATTGTTTTTATTTGATTACATTATGTTCATCAAAAAAGTTATTTCTCATTTTTTTTGGTGCACCTCCCACAATTAAGTACTTATAACACCAGAATAACTGAAATAATAATGCATATCCCAGTGATTTGAATCAGATTTAATTGGATACCTGTAAGTGACGTCACGCGTATGAATCGAACCTGCTTGGCTTCTGAATCGACAAACGCTACCATTTACCTCCGATGACGTCGCTTGCAGGTATCCAATTTTACTTAATTTTATTCCCTTGGCGATATTGATACAAGGTAAGAAAGCATATTTTTCGGATAAAATTGTACGAGTTAAAAAAATTAGCTTTTAATTTGTTTTTTATTAGTTTATTATTTTTTACTACGCATTTTTTTATTTATTTACTTAAATTAATAAACTATTTTTTTATAATATTTCAGACATTTTTCTTATCTTCCATTTAGGAGTAGTAATTAATTAATATCATCATAAGAAAGAACTTACTTGCATCATTGGAAAGAAATCATCATTGAGGAGGTAGCTTCGTTTACCTTTTGAAAGAATGTAAACAAACTTAGAGGCTTCATCATGGCATGTATTAACAACCCTAGATAAATAAAATTATCAGTGATTAGGTTCTCAGCTAATTCAACTGTAATTATCAATGCTCAACTCCATAGCCTTGTAATTTTGAACCCTACCCTGAAGACAAAGGAACTCCAGAGTAAAATAGTGGGCAATTTGGCCTTAGTGGATGACTTTTGTTGGAACTAAGTCGTACTTGCGTTACACATACGAAAACCTACCATGGTTAGCCCGACGGCAAGAGGAATCTAACCCATGATCCTTCTACCACAGAATATATTAGATTTGTTGGTTTCTTCAAAATCAATTTTTTTTAAAAAAATTGAGCGATTTAAACTAAATCTAGTAGCATATTGCACATGCTTTCATATCATACTGGTCCGATTTAAATGAGGTGATCAACGAGGGCTTGCAAAATTAAGGGCCGTATAAAATTAGTTTAATTCATGACTTTGTCCAAGTTGGTTAAACTTTAAAATTTGGGCTATTTGTGGCATTTTATATAATTTCATTACTTTAATTTGTATTGTTAGAAAATTATTTCACCTATATTTAAAATAGTATTATTTGACTGACGTATGATATATTGTGATTTGATATGTTACATAAATTTATTGTTATATTTGTGTTTTTCAATGTTACATATTTATAAGTTTGTAATATCTATACAAAGGCAGTTTCAACTATATAAAAGCAACTTTTTTAGTTTGCATCGCTTTCTTTTTCAAAACTTCAAAGCGTTTCTTCGAACGAAATATAAAAATGCAGTTAATACGTTTTGATTTTCTCAGGATCGATGAAACCAAAAGCACGGCTCTACATTATTATAAAAGCACGGCTTTTTATCATAAATTTGTGATTTTTCATAATATTTATTCCTTTTCTCAAAGCGTCATATAAAAAAAAATTGATAAAAAAGATTTTTTAAGTAGTTTAATTACAGCTTTTATTTTTCAAAATTACTTTAAAACTTCAAAAATAAGTTTGAAAATATTTAATCGTAATTATAATTTTTTTAAATTTTCCAATGTGTAACAGTGACTTATTCTAAGTATAAATTTCAAATAACTTATAATAAATTTACTCGGAATTAATCTCTTTTAATTCATAATAATTCATTTTTTAAACTCATTTCATTTCATTTAATAATTTTCAATTAATTTCATTTAATAATTTTCAATTAATATCATTTAATAATTATTAATTAATTTTTATTAGTTTTTTTTCTGTTTTCAAAAACTAAATTTTAAATTTTCAAGCTTTTTAAACATCACACTTAACTGGGAATTATAACTTTAATAATTTTTAATTAATATCATTTAATAATTATTAATTAATTTGTAATAGTTTTTTTTTCTGTTTTCAAAAACTAAATTTTAAATTTTCAAGCGTTTTGAACTTTACTTTTAACTGGAAATTATAGCTTTACCTACATTCATATTTTTTCATTGGCATCATTCCCTTTCAACTAGAAAAACTGAAAAAGGTTTGCTTACAATTTTGAAATAAATGTTAAACATTTGCCACAAACGCTTGAACAACTACAGCTGGAAGATATTTTAGGAACTGTGTTATTTGGGTTACAAGCAATAAATCATAAATTAGCGACCCACCACATATTAACATTAGTAATATTTTCCCCCCCGTTCTAGAAGGCCACCTTCCTATAAGAAGGGTCCTTCGAACATAGACGAAGCACAAGTTACACGCACTCTTAATTTTTTGGCACAACACCTTCAAAATGTGTGGTGGGGTCACCCAATCCAAAAATAGTCACTCTCACCTTCTCCAGTACTCGAGGAATGCATCGCAACTGACTGCTGACTTCTTGTCTCCTCTAGCAGCCAGGAAGAGAGGAAGTTTCCAATACAGAGGTAGACCGCATGCCTGAAAATAACAACAACACACATACATTATTATTTTGATCAGTAAAATCCTGTACATAATGTGGTAAACATGCATATTATGGTCATATTAAAATATACATATTATGCTAATTGCAATTAATCCAGTGATTTTGTACATTCACAGGTGATTATTCATAATCAGCAAAATTTAATAAACGTGATGAAGTGCTGAGGATTTGTCAAATTTACAGATTTGCTTATAGGATCCCCAACTAGTAACAAGGAATTAAAAAAATACGGATTCTTTTGTAGAGTAACAAAGTCTAAATGAATATTATATTATATTATATTATATTATATTATATTACATTACATTACATTATATTATATTATATTATATTAAATTATATACTGTTAATAATAAATGTTTTTAATTTATTAAACAGAATTTTCTNATATTATATTATATTATATTATACAGAAATCAGCTCCGCGTTTTAACTAATCTTTAAATTTCAAGCTCCCTCTTTGGAGGAATTAGATTTTAATTCATTCATTCTTTAATTTTATTTCTTGTCCTTTTTTTTTGTTTGAAGTTGGCAATGAATCTTACACTTAGGATAGATTAAAAAACATGTCAGTGTAGGATGCCGGGCAATCACACCTTAAAAAATAATCAACGCAAGGAATACCGAGCGTTCCTAAAGGTTTTTTTTTAAAAAAAAACTGTGTAAGAAATACCGGGCAATGTGATCAATATGCATTTTTCACACATTTAACAAAATACGTGGTTATTAATAAAAATAACTAGATTAACCAGGAAAGTAATCAGGTAAGGAATGTGTAGGCTATTCTCCCGTGTACACTTTCCTGGTATTTCCTATATTGTTGTTCGTTATTTTTTAGGGAAAAAGGTCATTGCCTGTTACACACTTGCCCGGTATTCCTTACACTAATGTTTTTCTCTCACTCTGTATTCCCTCCTTTAATAGTATTTTTTTTCCTTTTTTGCAAAGATAAACAGCCATTGTATTGGACCATTGTACCAGTATTCCTTAAATTGAATTAATGGCAATTCCTACAAAATATTTGTTGAAAAATATAGGTTCCTTATGATGCAACTTATAACTAAAAGATTTTATGGTCTTGTCAGAAAATAGGCCTGCATTTCAAAATGAAAACAAATTTATTATTAAAGTCAATTTATTAGCCAATTATCTTGAAGTTTGTGAACTGTGACAGAGAAGGTTGCAAGTCATAGAACTTCAATTTTAAGCCTGTTTTGATATCTTCTAAGAGCCAATTATTTTGAAATCAATATTAAAAGGCCATTAAAAGTTGTGTTAAAAATACGTTTTGAATTCTATGAGTGTGACGTCTTTTCGACTCAACTTATCACTAAAAATTTTTATGGTCTTGTCAGAGAATAGGCCTGCATTTTAAAATGAAAACAAGTTTACACATATTTTGAAGTTTATGAACTGTGACAGAGAAGGTTGCGAGTCACAGTTCAATTTTAAGTCTGTTCTGATATCTTCTTAGAGCCTTTTATTTTGAAATCAATACTAAAAAGCCATTAAATGTTACGTTAAAAATACGCTTTGAATTCTATGAGTGTGACGTCTTTTTGACTCAACTTATAACTAAAAAATTTTATGGCCTCTTCACAGAATAGGCCTGCATTTTAAAATGAAAACAAGTTTATATTTTGAAGTTTATGAACTGTGACAGAGAAGGTTGCTTGTCACAGAACTTCAATTTTAAGTCTGTTTTGATGTCCTCTACGGGCCATTTATTTTGAAATCAATATTAAAAGGCCATTAAAAGTTGTGTCAAAAACACGTTATGGAGTGTGACGTCTTTTTGACTCAACTTATCACTAAAACTTTTTAGGGCTTGGCCAGAAAATAAGCTTCGATTTTAAAATGAAAACAAATTTACGTTTGGAAGGGTGCGAATTGTGACAGAAGAGTTTGTAAGTCAAGTGAGCACAAGCGCTCATTTGAAGTGAGCTCAATTTAATTCCTGGTTAGCTTCTTTTTCTGATATTTTTTTTAGTTCACATTTTCTTTCTTCTCTTTAATGACGAAATCCAACATAGGGTTGGGATGACAAAGAAATAAAAACAAAATAAAAAAAAGAATGTTAACCTTTGTGATGATGCTGAATTCTTCTCGAGATGCTTTGCCCTCATTGAGGCCGGCAAAGACGGCAGCCACTTTCTTGAGGTGTATCTCGATGTCTTGAGGAGTTTGGGGCTTGCCATCCGGAAAATGGAATTTAGGAATCTGGGTGCTGCCCTGTTTACCGGACTTGACTGCTTTCCGAAGGGAACTTGTCCTTGGAGTTGGAGCAGTGTTCTCTTTGTCTTTTGATGAAGCTCCATGGTGACTCTAATGAAATAAAAGAAATAATTAACGTGGGGTAATGTTTGTAATCAGTTGGAATCGATTCAACTTTAGGAGGTAGATTAAAACCAGTGTTAAGTAAGTGTTATTTCAACCTAGAATCATTTAATGAATGTTGCTTAAAATATATTTTGCACTTTAGATTAGAGTTGATTCAGAAAAAATGTTTTTAGTATCAGGCAAGTATAATTTTCAAAGCTTTTTTTAATTTTTGGATTTAGAATGCAAATTCAAAAGGTAAGTACAGACTAGTATGGTGAGTGCTATTAAAGTATGGATATGCAGGATATGGAGTGCATGGATATGCAGGAGGATTTAAATCAAAACAGGACACAAGAAATGCATTTTTTAAGAATAATTCCACGTAGAATTAATTTTGAATAGCGATTTAGAAATAAACTAATACCAGAGCCAAAAACACGTGTTTAAATATAAACTCATTTTATATTTGAGTAAGCATGGTAGTTCATCTGATAATTTAAACCGGCGATACTGAAGCTTGTTGTTTTCAATAAATCTTATGATATTGAAGAAACATTTGCGAGATACAGAGAACAAATTATGGGTGATTGAATTTGATACAAAAGGATCATTAGTTTAAATTGTAAATTCGGAAGGTATAAAATATCATAAGAAATTAATATTTAATACCCGTTTTAGGAAAACCATGAGAAAATGTCATAAAATGTTACCAGTAGCAGTAATTAACACAGCTATTGAGTATGGATTCATAGACAATTATAGATAATCAGCGATATAACATTCGCCGATATTGGCAAGAGTCTACCAATAGGCCGTTTTAGATTTTGGCTAGAAATGCTTATCGCTTATCTGAGAAAATTTTCATTGGAATCCAGAGGGAAGAAACCTGTCTATGTAGAATTTGATTGATAAGTAAAATTCAATTGATTCAATTTGTGTACATTATTGGGCATTAAACTAAACAAGAAGTTACAACGTGCACAGTGTATTGTACCATCCGATAGAGATAAATGAAACCTTATAGTAGCAATATGCGTTTATTGTTAAAGAACTGAGACAGATATGGAAAATTCCGTATCAAATTACGGTATAAAGTACCGGCACTTTGGGTGCATAATCTGTAAAATCCATTTTTTGGTAAAATATTATGTTGAAATATTAATTTAATTATAGTTGTTCAGTGATTTAAGGTTAATTATTGCTGTAAAAATTATGGCATTTCAGTTTTTTTTGTTCCGTAACATGTTCCAGTAAAATTGGATTATACAATAAAAAGTACTGTCAACCTGAGTGCTGGTACTTTTTGTTATATTTTGATAAGGAATTTTTTATAGTGAAGTTGAGTATCATACTATTGTGTCATCAACTTCAAGAATTATGAAAATACAGTAACACTCAGCACAATAATGTTGCAATAAATACTATTATAACGATACTATAGTTTAACATGTTCCAAAACTTCTAAATGTGTAGTGATGATTTACATTTTCATATGATAACAAAGATAATTTTTTAGAATTTTTTTAAAGGTAGTTTAACATTATACATTTGTCTATTTTTATGCATTTGATAAATATTCCTGCTTTTGCGTAATTTACGTAAAAAGTTTTTTAGGATCACTCAAATCGTGTAAATTGTAAAAAATAAAATAAATTTTAGAAAATCTAAAATGTGTGTGTAGTTTTAAATAAGTTACTCGAAACCACAAACCGCATAATTTTATTGCTTTTCATCTTTGAGAAAAAAACTATAGAAGTTCTAAATATCATCAAGAATTATTCCTCCTAATCTAATAGCGATTCTTTTATTATTAGAACTATACCTTTCTTTTTTGAAAGGTATAGTTCTATCGAATGTCGTTCTATTATCAACAGCTTATTAAGATCAAATAAAAGATTAAAAGAAAATCAAGAAAACACGAATCAAATATATAACTTAAAATGCAAGAAGGCGAGGGAAGAGGGATCTTAGCAATAAATATAGCTAACTATAAATTAAATTACGGAAATAAATATAAAAAAACGACGTAGAAAAACTCCAATGAGAAATTATTTCAATAATAATATTTCAATAATATAATTATTCCCAAATAACCAATATTAAAATGCTTAATCAACAAAAATATATCTTAAAATGCTTAATCAACAAAAATATTTAGCTTTAAAGAAATCAGAAATGGTAATTCAACTAAAAGAAATTTTACCCTTTCAACTAATTTCAGTCAACAAATTTATGAGATAGAAATTTATAAAGATGGGGAAAAAACACAACATGAAAACTAATATAAAAAAAAAATTTGAATGATGCATTTAAAGGTTGCTGTAGCATTTATATTTGATTACGCTTTGTTATTATTAAAGTGAATCTAAACAAAGCATTTTTTAAATAAAAAAGTAAAAGCAATCAGATAATACAAATGGTATGAAAATAATGGACTATTGTCAAAGTATCTAATCAGAAATAGGATTTAAATTTCTTTAATTCTACTAATTAAATTTTAAATAATAATAACTATCAAAATATACATCCGTAAAATTGAATTCCTGAAGTATTTATGATCACATAATTCATTTTTGAATGAAAAATTTTAAATGGAATCTACAATAATTTATAGCCTGTCATGTTATTAAATTAGGAAAATATATTAATCTATTTATATAATTGATCAAATTATTACTTTTCAAATAAAAACCGAAACTTATACTTATTTTAAATATTTTGGTTCAGATCACAGTTAGACTTCTTCCTTTTCAGCAAGTTCCATTATTGTAGACATTTATTTTCTAGTTTTGAAGTTTTAATGGAAAAATGTTTTGAAAAAATTAGTTTTTTCTTCATTATTCATTAGTTATATATACCATCATATATATATATACCAATATTTTAATGAAGGCAAAATAGTTTAAGCAAATATTCAAGCAAATATACTTAGTACGAAAATAATGTAGTGAAAAGAACAGTTCCTTCTTAAAAGTCATCTTATTTCATGCAACTTAGTGTTCGATTCAACGAGTCGCAATGTAATTAACAAACATAAGTAATTTTTAATAGATAACTTCTTAATAGATAATTTATTAGACAACACAACCATAAACCAAAACCATTTGTTTGATCAACAAAACCATGATTTTCATAGAGAAATACTCATATTTCAAATTTTCTAACTAATGTTTAGGCTAAGACAAAACTATTGGAATAGATTAAGGCTTTCACAAAACCTTTAAAAAAACCTTTTTTTTTCATCAACAAATACACATGTTTTCAGTTTTTAACCCAATATTTAAGTTAGGGTATTATTAGATTCTTGATTAGATATAAATTTTCATAAAACCTGCACGAAAATATTATTTTTTCTGAACAAATGTGCATATTTTCCATTATTAACCCAAGTTCTTGTTTAGCTTTTTACATAGATTCTAGGTAAGATTAAAGTGTCTTGCGTATTATACATTTAACGTATATTATACTTTATAAAATTTACATTATACGTTACCTAAATTATACATTTTACGTATAAATTGCTTTACTGCTATTTTTTTTTAAACTTATAGTTGAACTTGAAATATAAAATATATTTTATGTTTACGATTTTGCCTGTCAGGTGGCCGAGCGGTTAGCGTGCCTGACTGCGAAGCCATAGGCTGCGGGTTCGAATCCCGCTCTGGGCATGGATGTTTCTCTCTCTCTCTTTGTGCTGTCCTCTGTTGTGTGTGTGTATGATGTGTGAATGTGGCCCACCCTATAAACGGGTTTGTGGCAGTGTGGCGTGGGCAATGTTGCTAGCCCCCGTGACTTTGGTTCACAGGTGCCCACTGGGTAACGCGTAATGAGCAACAATTCTGGCATAGTATAGGCAAGGATTCAAATTCAGTGCCTGCCATTGGAAAAAAAAATGTTTATGATTTGAAAAAAAAAAATTAAACTAATGCTTTTGATCCTCCAAAAAATTTTTACACTGAGAAGAAAAGTATGGTCCAAAGTCAAGTATGGTAAAGTCAAGTAAGAAGAAAAGTATGGTCAAAAGTATGGTAAAATTTACCGTGTCTCTAGCTCTATGGAAGCATAAAAAGAACGATAATTTTTGCCGAATAGCTTTGGTAATGATTTTGGTAAAATTAAAATGATGATTTTGGTAAACAATATGATTTTGGTAAACAATAAAATACGGTTTTATTACGTATGAGTAAATTTGGTAACTATAAAAGTTTGTAATTTTATTATGATACATACTTCAGAACATGGCATAAAAACCATTTAATCGGTTCAATTTAGTTTTCAGTTTTGTATTCTTTCCTAAATGTGTAGTAATAAGAGCCATAACTATGAAAACCAGAATTTCCGAGGAAATATTACCATATAAAAGAAAAAATTACCAAATCAATGTCTTAAACACCGTATATTTTAGTTTAAATAACCACAATTATGTTTTTTTATTATACTATCAGTAATGTCATTGCCACACAGTACGGTAATTTTACCAGATTTTATTTTTCTTTGTGTAAGGAATTAAAATTAATTTTTGACCTGTATGGCTTTCAACTTGACTAGACATTATTTGATAGAAGAAGGTTGCTATCATTACATATTCGGACAAACTACAATATTTTGAATTATTTACAGTAGGTGCAACCAGTTGATTGTTTAGATTATTAATGATAAAACAAGGAAAAAATTTTATTCATCTAATTAAATATAAAAAAAGACTAAAAGAGAAAATAAAGTAGTCTTTTAATGGTTAATACGCACGCAATTGTATTTATTTACTTTAGTTATGCAGTCGGGGTTCCATCAAAAAAAGGTCGATCATTTAGTGTTCCATAGCCGTAAAAAATTGGGAACCGTTGCATCAGGCGTGCTTACTATGGAAGATAATAACCACATTAACGTATACAAAACTATAAAATTACCTAATTCTGCACCAAAACTAAGTGTTGAACCAACCTTCTCCTTAATATATAAAAACATAAAAAGCTTCTAACAAAATTTTAAATTCCAAAAAGTTA